ACGCTGTACGCTTCCTAGTTAAGCCTCTACATCACTGCGTGGGAGCCCCAGAATGACCTTGACAGCTATCAGGGCCCAGCAGAGCTGGGAACTTGGAGGCTACTAGCAGCTAGCGACATCTATGAAACTTCACGGGAGTCAAGCACTCCAAAAGTAAATCTCGATGAAGCTGTTCAGATATAGCAGATTACTAAGTATCAGTATCTACAGGTATTACAGGTCTCAGAACAATTTCAAAATAGGAAAAATTACAACTTTCGACATTGTAAATGAGTAAGAGTATAACCATAAACTGAACTAGTCCCCGCTGAACCACCGAAATAACGTTCAATGTTTGAAACTTTGTAATGCAACAAATGTATGTAACGGTTAGCAAATTACACAACATTTAGTTCAGTAAAAATGCAAAGTAACACTCGATTTATACTTTCGATTCTTGGACCCAGAATTAAAATTTTATTAGATTGTTAAGACTTTTTATACACGGAGGAATCTTCCTTGCATTTTTCAATGTATTATTAACTACCCAACAATATTATAATACAAAGAACAAAAATGTAATATTTAACAAAAGTAATACAAATTGTAATAGCACTCAAATTGAAAATATTTTATCTCAAATTCTGTTACTCTCCTTCTCTTTCTTGATTTCATTCTTTCATTTTTTGTTAAGAGTTTAGATTAAATATCACAGAATAACACATAGTCACTTCTTTTATTCCCGTCATTCTTGCTTTCACATTTCTTTAAACGATTATTCCTTTTTTCATCCACTCTTTCTGTTTCATCCATTCTTTTTCATTTTTTTCATTGTCTGTTTGTTTCCTTCTTTCTTTCTTCCCCGTCTATTCCCCAAAACACACCTGACCTCCCACAACTTCTCAAAATGCATGTCCCTTAAGTAACTCAAAAACAAGTTGGGTAGTGGATCTAGGAAGATTGTTTCCGAATTAAGAACGATTGAATTATGTGTTGCAGTCCTGTTCCTTACGTAATAATTTTTTTATTTAAATAAATTATATCTTTATTTGCAATTGTTTTATCAGAGCAATAGACACATGTTGTAATAATCATTATGTAATAAGCTGATATATGTTATTCTTTGCATCTTAAAGTTCTTGCTGGCTGTGGCGACCTGGGGTTAATTGCTGAGTACTAGTAATATAAAGGTGTTATTTCGATATATATATTTATATATTATACATCGGACAAAACATCAAGTATCGGTGAACACATATCCTTTTAATACATAAAAAACGCAAATTATTCACTTTACGCAATAATAAATTAATATTTGTGAAAATAACATCCAGTGCTCCCACTGTAAATGTTAACTTTCCGTTTTATAGAAATGAAAAAATATTATAATTTTTTGGTTGCATACACCAAACATTTATTTTAAATTATATTTCGGTCTGTTGCAGAAAACAAATTCTCAGAGAATGTTGTTCATTCGGATCCGTGTTCATTCCATGCTGATATTGTTGATATTAGACTTTTGCGTGTTCAAGTAGTATTATGATACTATTAACCCTTACAAATAATCCCGAAAAGCATGTGCCGTTGTAAACACCAGTAGTTCTGGTTTACTTAACATGCAGATCTTGACGAAACCGTTAATGAATTTTGGTTGAACTTAATAAATAGAGAATTCGTGAAATATACTCACACCACTTTGTCCAATAACACTACAATTCTTTTAATTTGTCACCTACTACGTACTTACGTAGTTAAGTGTAAGTCTTGTGGTGGTGTAGCGGATATTCACGATTTTTCGTCAGAAAAAAATCGTGATGTGGAGCTCTGTGGATCAATCTTTCTAAATGTGGAAAATTACTTCAACAAACACGTTGTGGAGTCAAAATACTTGTTTTGGGGGTCCTCCATATCAAAAAATGAGCTTTCGGCAGCACGCCCGTCCGTCTGTCTGCTGTCATAGTGCAGTCAAGACGAACACCTAAAGTATTCAGATGATTCCAAAACTGATATCCAACCATATTCGCCCCGAAGTCGAGGTTCTGCGAATGTTAAAGGATATTTTGATTTTGGAGGTTACTTTACATGAATCCTTAACATTTTCAAAATTATTATTTTTTAAATTTTTTTTATTTTGCTTTATTTATTATGGTCGCATAAACTATATGGTCATGAGCGACCCCATTGTTTTTACAAAGTATTAACAATATTTGAAGCAAATAATTATTTACAATTGATATGAAAAACACATACTATAAGTACAAATATTACAAAATGGTACACAAAAATATTAACAAATTTATTACATTAATAAGATCTTAAGATAATGGTATGATTTTTAGATACCTAGTATTTAACTTGACAAGTTGTTTCTAGTAGTTAACAGACATTTATGGAGGTTGAGTTCATCAGGAAATGGATCACATTATATACATTAATTGCATCATTTAAAGTGTTTGTATGTTGTTAGAAAGATTGTATTTTTTTCTGAAATAATTCAAATTTGGGCAATGAACTAATATATGGATGACGTTAATAGATATATGACAAGTTTGGCAGAGATTTGGGGATTCTTTTGCTATTAAATGCTTGTGAGTCAAGGCTGAATGGCCTATTCTCAAACGAGTAAAAAGTACTTGATCACTTCTTTTTTGAAAGTAAGGAGCACGGTCTTCAAGAACTGATTTTCTGATCATGAACAGTTTGCTAGGTGGTGAACTTTTCCATTCAGTGTCCCACAATTCCTTGTTTTTTTGAAGAAGTACTTTTTTATATCATTATGCGAGACATTATTGGTGGTCAGAGGTAAGGAGGTAGATAGTTTGGCTGCTCTGTCAATTAATGCGTTGCCTGTTATGCCAATGTGGGAGGGAATCCAGACAAACACTATTTCTTTGTTCATGTTTAACAATTCATTATACAGATTTATGGTTTTTTTAAATTATTGGATCTAATTTGGAGGTGCTACTGAAGCTTTATAGTACACTTCTCGAATCAGTGTAGATTACAAATTTTGAATTTGACATATCTTTGATGTATTCTAAGGCTCTGTATATGGCGTACGCTTCACAATAATATATAGAACATATATCACTAAGCTTGAAAGATTGTTTGAGCATAAATTAAAAGGGCACATCCAGAGCCATTCGTAGTTTTGGAACCATTTGTAAATATGCTGGTGTATTGACTGTAAGTAGATGACAATTCATTGAAGAGAGCTACATATATTTGTGGACCTGTGTCAATTTTCCTGTATTCATTAAGACTTGTATTAATGGTTATTTTAGAAGAAAGCCATGGAGGTCTTTTAGTATTAATATCTGGATTTACCTGGCGAAATGTGAAGTCTATTTCTTCGAGGTATTGTTTTAACAATGGATATGCTGGTTTGGGTGAATTAATTTATTTTTTTTGGTATTGAACTGAATATCTTGAGGAGAATATATTCTTATGTGTTGGGTTACAGGAAGAACTCGAGATTTTGCTGGCATAAGAAAATGTTATGCTGATTACCTTTTCCATTAGTTTGCAAAGGGTGGATGTTAATGATATTGGTCTGTAGTTTACAGAATTGTTTATGTCTTTATTTGGTTTAGGAATTGGTAAAACTATTGCTTCTTTCCACTTGTTAGGAAATGACCCAGTGATTAACAGTTCGTTGAATAGGATAGTAATATATTCTATGGCACTGATTGGTAATTCTTTCAAAAAAAATATTTAAAATGTCATCTGGGTCTGGGCTGGACTTTCTCAAATTGGAGAGAACAGAAGTAATTTCTTGCACTTGGAGAGAATAATTTAGTATTGGATGTCAAGAGGTATTTAGTTGCAATATTTTATCTATTGTAAAATGATTGTTAATGTTGTCCTTGGAGAGCGTAAAGAACTCTTAAAAATGGAGCTGAATGGCTACAACTTTCGTCGCAATTCCCGAATTTTTGAAAATTATAATAGTTCCAATTTGTTTCGATGCGAGACTACCACTACAAAATTGAATATATTAAAAAATATATATAATTCATTCTTCGAAAACAGCACTTTAATTAAGGTCACGAGAAATTTTTCACAAACACGAGTCGCTTTTGCATAATTGGGCGTGAAATATTGACAATTTTTTAATCAATTATTTTATGGAAAACAGCTCCAATCTTTTAAAAGGGTTGTTTCTTGAATATAATTATGTACGCTTATAACAACGGCGCAGGTTCCATTTTCGCAAAACTCTGAATTTTCGGAAATTGAGAACGTGAGCAAAAAATGCGAGAAAGTATGTCCTGAATCGCAAGTTTCCGGGGCCAGAGGCAACGTATTCTTGGTTGTTCGGCAGACGTCGCAACCTACCCATAGAGGCCAACGTTTCGGCATCTATGACGTTCGCCAACTACGACGGCCGAAATGGAATATGTGCGTAGGTCTGTGCGCCTCCCAAATGTGTACATACTCGGAACAATTACGGGTTGATCTTTCAAAAAGCCTCAGAACAAGTTTCTCCATGAGAATAGTTCAATATTCCATTGAACATTTTTAAAATACTACATTCTAAAAACTCACTTCACACACGTTTCTTTCTGTATTGTTGGACCTTTTGCAAAGCACTTCAAATTTCCGCTTACGAGAGACACACGCGATTAATATATATCAACAACGTAGTGACTATAATATCTAGTTTATGACTGTAAAAAAGCGTAACCCACACAATGGCATGAGCACCTGTTTGTGCTAATATGAACGATAAAAATACAATATATAACTTCACTGTCCCAAAGTTTCATTACGGGGTTTAGACTATTCACGAGGCCTAGAGACACGAACGTAATTATTAAAAAAATGGTCGAAATGTAATTATTCTACAATGATGATACCAGGCGTTCTTCAAAGGGTCGGAACTGGCTGACATCAACATTCTTCGGTGCCATTAAAACCCCTTTGTTTGCTTTTCAAGTGAGGACGCTATCATGAACGTCTCAAGCTGCCAACATTTCCCATCGAGTTGCAATATCTTCAGTTTAATTTATCTCCTTCAGCACCAGCGCGTCAGATCGGCCGCGGGCCCTATTTGCACTTTGAGAAATTGTGGAACGCGTGATTTTATCACGCGGCGCCCCCGCCGCCGGCTGGTGAGATAGGCCTCGTAGCCCGCGTGCTTGATCGACCCGTGCCGTTCCCACTCGACCCGTCCGTGGACTTGGACCTCGCGACAGACACATGGCGGCGCCACGTGCAAGGGCCCTTCGCCACGATTGGCTGCGTCGGTCAGGCTGCCCCCGGTCATACGATGCCCCCAGCCTGCGGCCGCATGGACGCCTCCGCCAGCGCCATCCCCACCGCCGCCGCGCCCAACAAAGCCCGTGCGCCCCGCTCCCGCGCCGCAGACAGCACGCTCAGCCCTGCGCGTCAACTCCCGCCGACGACGGTCGCCCAAGGAACAGGTGAGCACTGGCGTTGGCTGCCGAGGCTTCTTCGTTATTTTCGTGCACGGGAAGGAACTCTGTACGATTTGGATGGTGATTTAAATCAAAACAATACAGTTTATCATACTCAAGAATGAATCACTTCAATTACCAGGTAACTATTGCAGTTAGGTTTTCTACTTAACGTAGTGAAGGACGAGACAAGAATTTGCTGAACAAAGTAGAGTAACTCGTGGACATTGGAATCTTTCACTGACCACTTAGTGGCATCCCTTGTGATTAAAATGAAAGATAAAATCCAGCTTTATTAAATTGGAGGATAATAAATCATCCCACAGAAATGTCAGTAATGCATTTTACTTAACATCGGGAAGCAGGTCATTTGCCATCTTGCTTGTTGAGCACGAGGTGAGTTTCTAACTGTATGCGTGCGTGAAAATGGGCAATTAGTGACTACTGAATGTGATATGAGAGAAAACAAACAACATTTATTGTATTCGATAAAGGAAAATCTTCGCATCAAGTTGTTCAGATTCTTCATTGGAAATAGACAAATTTTATTTGCAATTGCAAAAGTGATGCGATCACATTAAATAACGAGAACATTTTCCGGGAGGCAAGTAGAATTCTACATGTCCAACATTTGTCCTCTCAAGGTTCTGCCTCAAAGCAATTACTTTGCACAGAGTTAAAAGTGAGTGGTTTGTATTGCGTTTCGAATCGTGCATCTGATTACATTCTTTAATAAGAAATAATAAATTTTTTTCTAGGTAATTGTCATTTAGTCTATCCCCAGATTAATCCATCCTATATATTATTAATATTAATACTCGTATGGAAAGTATCAGGTTTAGTTCAACATCTCATAAAGTAATAAAAAGTTAATGATTCCACAATTCGGTCGCGATTCCACAATAACAATTAGCGTGAGAAGATCGTGCATCCAAGCAAATGTAGATTGATGTATACTTATGGGAAAACCATCAGTCTTTCAACTTCCGAATCGTTCTTCAGAGTGATGTCAACAAAATTCAAAGAACAACAACATTTAATGAAATAAAAACAGGAAACCGTCAAATGATCCTCTCTGGACGTCCTCAAGTGAACTAATATAATTTTTATTTGTAAGAGCAACGTTTTTACGACGTCACATTAAATAAGCAGAAGCTCGTTTATATAATACAATAATACACATTTTTGTTAGGTTAATTTCGTGCTGAAAATGTCGTATAATCAATTTCTTCACGATATTTGCGACTTTTGTTGCAGAGAAAAGAAGTTCCTTGCCCCACGTTCCTTTCGTCTCCGTCTTCATTCTCTCCTCCGCTAAGAGGCCTCTGATTGCATGAATGGGCCGAGCGCCGCTTCACATTTCCGGCCTTTACTCTCCTAAATTGGGTTGCAATTTGCTTCAATTAGTTCTTCACGACAGTAGCTGTAACACTATGTTCCTTTAGTTTAACCATCACTTTTATTTTTTTATCATTCGTTATCATTGTTAATACATATCTGTTTTATATGAAAAATTATAAATGCAAAACTAATGGTTTTGAAAGATTAGACTGGAAGCTATAGTTAAGTTTATTTACGAGTTCCGTAAAGCAGGTCAAAGTGTTAAAGTATTGGTGTGTTTCTATAATGTTTCCAGTGACAGGATTTATTTGTTGGATGAAATGCGTATTTTTTGTAGCATCATAATTACAGCTTTTAATCAAGAATACAACAGAAAAGTAATAGTAAATTTAGATAAAACATCAAAGATGTATTTTCTATTATCAGAGATTTTTAACAGTAATGAATGTTACCACCAAATCAAGAAAACAAACAAAGTTGTTATAGACCAAACTAAGTCATTCAATATTCATCTGTTGATCAATATATGGTAAAATTACGTAAAAGGAAAATACCCTGGGTCCAACCCAGGTAAAACATTGAAAGATACACCATCATTTACCATTATAATGAAACGTAGGAAATGAGTCGTGACTCGTCTCATTGCTTGTGACTCCCATTTGATTCATTGCCGATACTAATGGCTTTCTCGGGTTTGGGGGGGGGAGAAGAGAAGGAGAGGCACAAAATGCAGTGTAGATAGAAAAATTACAATTTGGTGCACGTACTCAATAAAGAATATGTCTTGACAATACTACTTACAATCGAGTTACAATACAAAATGAACTAAACAAATATGAAACTATTTTTAATATGATCGTGATGTTAAAACAAGGGCTATTGTTTTAATCGATGAATTTAATTCCCGTTTAATTAACTTCCATTCATAAAGTGCCCAAGTTATTCATTAATAAAACTCCAGAATTCTAATGTATAACCCTCATTAAACACTTGAAAACAAAGTAGCTGTGGAATGTTACACAGGTTGCATATTAAATAACCCCTTTCAAGAACCCTAAGATATTATATTTAAAAGTATTGACTCTGAATTATGTTTCCAAATTGTACTCCCCTTTCACTGAATCAGAAGCCTATTGGTAATTATTTTTTATACATTTAGCCAATGAATTTGTAAGTCCTTTTAGAATTAAGTAATTACTTTCTTCTGCTGTAATAAAAACAACCTAAAATGTGAGAACTCTGATTTACACCATAAGATATAATCCAATAAACGATAGGTATCCTTGAATTTGCTTAAAATATAAGAACATTAGCTCAATTACGCAATTACATTATTTTTGTTTAAAATATAAAGTGCGAGTTGACTAGTACATAAAAAAAGGAGAATTATTTATACTTACTTTATTTTGTATTTTGTTTTAAAAAGCAGTTAGGTATTTCTTCACCGGCAATTTTTATTCAACTTACATCAATATGTTTCTCAAATAATTTATATTCGCCTTATTACAGAGACTTGGGAATTTACTTATGAAGTAACAGTGCAAATAGAATGTAAATAGCCCTGGGAGGGAACAACGTTGACAGACTACGAGTTTTTTTAGAATTGAAAATTAATTCCACTACTTTTCCGTCTCTGCCTTCTTATTGTCTAGACGCTCAATGCAATGTGGAACTAATGAGAATGAAAAGCACATTGAAGTCAAGGGATTGCAAAACATGGAATATGTTGCACTGTTGCCTGACCTGACTAAGAACGTGCATCAGCTAGATTGATACCCCAAATTAGAAACAAATTCCTTTGTAATAATAATAATATTTAATTATATAATAATAATTATTAAGTAACTTAGTTATGCATACAGTTTATGACTATATTAATTGGGCTCTATTTTGTAAATACTTTTCACAGTTCTCTCGTTACATATTATACAACATACCACTAACACGATCTGATGGAAGAAGTATCTGCTATCACGTTTCTTCACAGGGTAAGACGGCTCTACGGTAACAACATGCAAATTAAATATTTCATTCGATTATAAATATGTAATTTAGAATATTCAGTGTATAGGGAGCGGATTTTAATGCAAATATTTCCCCCTGTAGTCAGAAAGTATGCTCATTTGACATGAGGTCGAACCTTTAATACCCAATTCTATTAACATAATATTATTTCCCAAATATTGCTTATTTTGCCAGATTCAACATCGTATACCGACAATTTGCCTATTATTCTGCGTATTTTTTAGAAAATAATCGTTTTATATGGTCTATATTTTACGCATAATTACTCTAAGATTTCTCACATTTTTTGAAGAGTCAATTATGCGTTCCGAAGTCAAAGTTTAATCTAAAATTTCGAGCCATTTTTGATTTTTTTAAAAATGTTGACTCTTTATGTAAATTATTTCCAAAAATGAAAATATTCATCTCAAAACTATCAAGACCGCGTGTTCGTTTAGGTCAGTCAGGGAAAGTGAATTTTGGAAAAAATCGTCTGGAAGATGTAGATGATAGCGTTGACGACAGATGGTCGGAGGAGACAAACGTTTTGCTATCAATAGATTTTTCGATATCTGGACCCACAAAACTTAGATTCCGACTACACAATAGGTTAAAATAAGAATTTATTGCATATATGGGAACAAGTTTTATCAACTTTTTCATTACTAGGGACCGAAAATAAGAGTTTTTATAGAAAAAAAACGCCTAATTCTACTGCAGCATTACAATACTTTCTCTCTAGTACTAAACGTACTAAGGCGACGAAGTAAAAATTATATGCGATGCATGATTTTGCAAGTTTCAAACTTGCAGTGCGTTTAATGAAAATCGGAACTATACAATTTTTAAATATAGGTTTTATAAACGTACTTTCTTTTACCAGGAAAAAAGTCATTTTTCAGAAAATTTTGAGAATGTCACATGGGCTTTACGTAAAGTACCCCAAACATTAAAATATCTTAATGATCTACGTATCGGACCAATTAGGTCTTACTCCGACATATTTACCAAGTTGGAGCTAAAAAGCTTCTAATCTGACAGAGTTAAGTGAGACATTTGCATTCAATCTTGAAGAAAAAAAGACAGTTTCCTCGATTTTCGGATACCAAATTTCATGTATATTTTCGATACCAGAACAAACCTTAACCCTCTTCAGAACGGCACTAATTAACCCTAATACTCATGTGTCAACAAATTTACAGCTCTCAAGAATCATAGAGTTTACGATCGAAAACTCGATCTTGTAGTTTTTAGGCTATTCCAATAAGTTTCCCCCTGAACTCATGAGGAAAGACCTTCCAAATCAAAATATATCATCATATGAATATTCTGTCAAAATATTAAATATTCCAAAAATGTTCGAGCTAAAATGCATCTAATCTGATAGAGTTAAGCTCAACACACGCATTCATCCTCACACATAGACAGAAAGACCTCCCGATGTTTGGATTCACAATTGCATGTCTCTCCTCGGTACCAGAAGCAATCTTACCCATCTATGGAACAGTTGAATAAAATCAAAAATTAGTCGTTTTTGGAGGTCGCAACGTTAAGAAATACACTAAAACTTTCTCGCGGCCATTGGGAGGGGGGGGGATGGCACGCGACCACTCGACGACAGCTGGGGCAGGTCAGGGTGAGGCAGACGCGGTGGCGCGGCGCGGCGTGGACGAAGTGACCCTTGTCCAAGATGAAGTACGACGGTGTCTCTGCAGGTCAAAGTTTCCGACGCGGTGGGATTTGCTAGACGTCCATGCCGAGGGTCACTGCAAAGGCCGTGCTGATATCAGTTCTGTGGATGAAAGGAACTGATCTACGAATACACATCGAGCCATTAATTACAAAACATTTTGATAAACCCACTCGCTCATTACCATCGGACTGAAAAGAATTGATTTTTCATCCTTTGCCTCATTACGGCCGTATTCATTATTTTTTCGTGTAATTAAGAATACGAACAATGCAGTAATTTAATTCCAACAAAGCGGATAATTAATAAAGCAAGGGTTAAAGGATAACATGTTATTCGCCAAGTGTAACAGCATCGAGTAAAAATGGCACACGTCTCAACTTTGCAGAAGTCAGAATTTTCAAAAATTGTAAAAGTTATACATTATCCGAGAGATAGGAGTACGTGTTTAGCTCCATTAGTTTATTTACTTGACGCTGCATATTTAAATGCAGTTACACTTGACATTTAAAAACATTCCAATGGTCATTGATCCTTCATACGTTGCTTCATTAATTATCCTCTAGGCGAAAATAAATCACTGCATTATTGGTATTATTAATTACACGAGAAAATAATAAATTTGCCCTTAATAAGGAAAAGGAGGAAAAATTCAAATCCTTTTAGTCCGGTGGTGGAAATTACTTTGTGAATTTATAAGTTTCATTACACAGCGTAACATACACCACGTTAGTACAGTATTCGCGAAGACACATTTTGTTAAATTATTTAATTTATTGCAGTGTTATACTAGAGTCCATGTTCATGAGCAGTGAACTACTCGGTAAACGTGGTTTTATTAAGTATGAACGGGTAAAATGGGCACGTATCTCGAACGTGTATGGCTCACTTAAGTCCTTTACAAAATTTTAAAAAACTGACATTAATAATACCTCATGGTGACCTTATTCCCACCCCATCCTCATTGGTGACTTTCAAACAACGTATTTATAAAAACGTATACAAATAGGTAATTCTGAGGCTAACCATATTTTATGGGTGTTTCAGACCCCCGCGATGGATCTCAACGAGGAAAGCGCGCCCAGCGGGGTCCTCTTCGAAGAGGATGTGCCTGAGCAGGAAGCCAAGATGGCGAACGGAGGGCCGAAGAAGGGCAAGAAACTCGAAGAACCCTACCGGCTCGAAATTGTATGGTTCAATGTCCTCTGGTTTGTCCTCCTCCATGCTGGTGCATTGTACGGTGTATATCTCATCTTTGCATCTGCCAAAATCTACACAACATTATATGGTATGGATACTTTTATGTGCGTTTTGGAAGAAATTCCTGGACGAAATCTTGCTTTCTAAACATATAAATGTGTTAGTGGTAATTTTTCAATACACAAACTACAATGATAAACACGTATTTATCCAGAAAATAGATAAAAAATTCGTTAAATACGCCCCAAGAAGCTTTTTTACAACCGTTTACCAATTCATTGAAATTGGAATCTTTCATTAGATCACATACCTGAGGGCTAATGCAATCAATTCTTTTACTCTTGTATCACTCAATGCATGAATTTTTATTCGTAATAATTGGAAAACTTCACGTTTTTTGTCCACTGCTTTTACGAAATGTTTCATTAATTCTCATTTGATATGCAGTGGAGGTACGTGGTAGGTAACATAAGATTCTAACTTGACGTACTCTACCTGCTGGCTTTAATTGACGTATATTTACCTATCCAGGAAACCGAAATCTATGATTGTGGGGTATTTTTGAGTTGCGGCAAATTTCATTGTTTCTCATTGCAAATAACAGTGCGCAAGGATGCGGTGTAAACCGAAAAGATACCCCTCAACTTCAAGAAGGGAACTAGCTAGTATGAGAAATGTGTCCATTGTATATCACTTCTCGATATCCCGTGAATTTTGGGGCATTGATTTGCGTATTTTCCTATCCATGGGAACGGTTGCAACAAAACATTTATTATTAATTTAATACTTAGATGATTGTTACCTTTCCTGTCACCTTATTGGACGCAATTACGCTCGAGAATATGTTCCGCAATCTTATGAAATGCAAGTTATGACCTTGTTATTCAGTAACAAATGTATTTTAATAATTCAATTTCTTTAATGAATTGGTCGCCCCGACCGAGATTTGAACTCGGGCCACCTGGTTTACGACCAGATGCTCTAACTCTGTAATTTGGTGATTAGGGCATCTGGGCGTAAACCAGGAGGCCCGGTTTTGGAATTCCGAGTTAACGAAAATGTATTACATCGCAAAACGATCGATTTTAAAGTAGTACTGACCAAAAAACGAATTCCCCTCGCCCTATTCCTCATGCAAATACTCTAGCTCAACAAAATGTGCGCATAATGAAATTATATGTACAGTCCAGAATCAAATCAAGGAACCATTTCATTAATTGATTAAAGGGTAAAAGAAAACTGAACGCAAAACGTGATTTAGATGTGGGTCTTTGACCTCCAAGCATTAGTACAATACAAGACAGATGTCTAGTGGGGGCAGTGCCCCCACTTGAGAGGGATGGTCCGAGCTCCAACGCTGCTCTGCTGCCTTGCAGGCTTCTTGCTGTGCGAACTGTCCCTGCTGAGCATCACCGCGGGCGTCCACCGCCTGTGGGCCCATCGCGCCTACAAGGCCAAGTGGCCCCTGCGCCTCACCCTCATGATCCTCAACCTGCTGGCGTACCAGAACTCCATCTACGAGTGGGCGCGCGACCACCGGGTGCACCACAAGTTCAGCGAGACCAACGCGGACCCCGTGAACGCCAAGCGCGGCTTCTTCTTCTCGCACGTGGGCTGGCTGCTGTGCCGCAAGCACCCCGAAGTGCGCGCCAAGGGCGGCCGCATCGACCTCAGCGACCTGGAGCGCGACCCCATCGTCATGTTCCAGAAGAGGTGACACTCCTCTCCCATGCATACGGCGTTCTATACGTAGGAGGGCTTCACTCAACCGTCTTTTCGTTTCACGCAGATAAAACGATTCAATGATAATTGGCAGACCCGGCAATTAATCGCTATTGCAACGTATGAAATAAATACAATTCAACTTAAAAAATAAATTTATTCAATGAAAATTGGCTACGTATGAACTTCACTTTACCTTAATAATAAATTATTCGAATAATGGTGTTCACCGCCAGCATTTGGTTCAGACCTTCTCCTTTCTAGATCCAAACGTCGATGTTCTTCCATATTATGAGTCAACGCGAGGCGTGTAGTTCAAAACGATATCCATAGATCGCACTTCAAGCAAGGTCCTAAGGGGACGGCGTAGAGCCCATCTCGTCGAGTAACGTTGCAAAAACGACGACCCACATGTCGGATTTAATTAAAACCACGCTTTAAATACTCACGAGGCTATTAAGAAAGAAGTGTAAATATTTCAATGGAGTCGGTCGAAATCGAAAACTTTGTGTCTTTATGCGACATACGCACGTTCTCTTTTATTTATATATAGAACAGTATTGTAACGGATGACTTGTAACAATACATCAATCTCAAAGACAACAAAATATCAAGTGATCCGATGTGATGGGGTTTGTCGGCAGGATGAAAACAATTAAAGCAAAGTGGAAGAACCATCACATAGACTAGAAACTTCGTAGGCAATGTTGTTTTAAGGGATAATGACAGAGAGACAAACGATCCGACACCAGTCGCCAGTCTCCTCAGCCAACAGTTTTTCAAAATTACGTTTCATCTCCTGAACGCTCCAAAGGGACAAACTTCAACATAATTAGACGTCCCTCCCCCTAACAAAATGTAATACTCTGTTTTTTCCAAAACGTTTTTTCAATGAAATCCTCAGAATAGTCGCTAAACTTACAAATAAATATTCGGCTCTTTTAGATGAATTTTCATATTGTTTATTAAAGATTTGTGTGCCTGCCGTTACACACCCATTAACTGACAATTCATTGTTTATTAGTGATCAAGAATATATCTAAAACTTTTTAAAACAAAAATTAACGCACTCTTCAGAAAGACAATAAAATTAAATTCAAAATTATAGACTTATAAAATTATCTTTCGACAGTTTTTTCAAAAAATGCCTATTTTATTTAATATGATCAAGGAAATTTAGATAACCAAAATCTACGGAAATGGTTTACAAAGGTATTCTTCCAGAGAACAAATCTTTTGGTTTATTACATTTTACATCCGCCTATTGGAAGGGACATTTCAGATCTTTCGAGAACATTTGCCAATATTGACCATAAAATGTTGATTTCTAAATTACCTGCGTATGGAATTGGTGGTATTGCCCTATATTGGTAATCTTCGAATCTCAAACAATCGATTTTTAAGGAGTGAGATGTATTACGTACATTTTAGAATGTTAAATTTCAGTTGACCTTTCTGACTACCACATCTGTTAAGTGTTTATACTAACCGATGTAATCCATCTGAAACAAAGAAATGTTTAATAAACGCACACTGATAGGAATTACTAGCGCTATGGTATCAGTAAGGGTTTTTTTGCTTTAATTGAATAGTTATTAATGACTGAGAAAGAGATTCGTTGGTCATTTGAAGTACATTTTGAACCGATAAAGAAATTAGAATACATAGGAAAATTTTCAAATTCATTAAGAGGAAAAATATTTTTCCGGCCTACTTAATCTCACATCTTTTCTGGACAAATTAGAGGATCGGATGACATCTGTATCCAACCTTGACATCTGCACAATGTGGTGCATTACGAATTCTTCTCGATAAACGAGCCTTAACTCAATGATTGCATTGTAACCCAAACAGCATCCTAACGATACGAGAAAAAACTCACTTCCAAAGTATACATAGGGGAATTCAACTGCGCATTTCAATATTTTTTCAACAATTACATTTTATATTTATTATTTGTCATATTATCAATATATTTAGTTTCACTGTTTATGTGACTGAACATCTTTTTTTCACTGTGACCTCGGGCATTGAGTCATTTTATATTCTCTTTCCTTAATTTTTATTACTATTTATCAAATTATGTAATCGATTAAGTCGATATTTTCTCGTAATAGACATTGACAAGAAAAGGCAATTTTTAAACCAGTATAAATGTTTCTAAGTAATTAATACATTCATAAAGAGTAATAGCTAGCCTTGACGAATAGTTTATCTAGACATTATACTTATCAGACCAAAGTTTGTAATAGGATTGTCTGATAAAGTAGCTACTTTGTCTAGCAGTTATGCACAATACCTAGTTAGTATAAGTTGGTAAAAAATATTTTCTTCTGAGTTGTAAATGCATATTTGTAGTGAGTAGGCGAACGATACGTCAGTAGGAGCCATCGGCTCCGATGGCAGAGCTAATGGCAAAACGGCAAACTACCTCGCAAGCGAAACGGCCTCTCAAATAACCGAATACTTTTCGGACTCGGCAGATGCTTCACTTCGGCTGTCCACGTTGGTTCCTTCTCCCTAAGCAATTAACAAAAAATATTCTCGTGTCTGCCCAATGCATACTTTTAAATGCTTTTCTTGCCAAGTAGCACTTTTTTGCCGATCAGTTTGTTAGAAGAAAGTAAATTATAAATTAATACACCGATCGATTCAAATGAGCTGTATGCATAATACCTACAAAAACGTAATTATTTTTAAAAGCAATTATTAGTTCAACGAAATTTCATTGTCTATTATGAGTGACTCGGTAAACTGGTTCTATTAATCACTTCTTCTAGCTGGTGGCAGAAGGAAGAATAATACTGTAGTATGTTTAGCGATTAGTATGCATCCTCTAGGCATGTAGGCATAGGCATTGGTTTAATCACAATGACACAGCATACATTTGAACCGTTATTTGCTCTCCAGTATTTTCTCCTTAACTCTTTTAGCAGAAGAAAGTCCTTTAGAAATGTCTGAAATTTGCTAACTAGGGATGTAGAAAGAGAGTTTAATTCTAAAACAAAAATGTGTTTTAATTGACCGTACGAAAAGATTGTGATATTTGTAGAAGAGTGTGAATTTTAACATATTATTGTGACACATCGATATTTTTTTTTCGTTTTTACAGGCATTATTACAAATTGGTGCCGTTCGCTTCCTTCGTGATTCCAACTCTCATTCCTATGTATTTCTGGGGAGAGACGCTGTCTAATTCTTGGTATGTGGCGACTATGTTCCGATATTGCCTCTCTCTCAACCTTACATGGCTCGTCAACAGTGCGGCTCACATGTGGGGCAACAAGCCATATGACAAGTGAGTTGAATTGTTTTCTTCTGATGCCAAAACTTTTGTTTCATATTATGTTTCGCTACATGTGCAGTCGATTTGAGGACTTAAGCCCTGAAAGTATTCATATATTCCAACAAATTTACTTCAATGGATGACATTTTTATCTCTTAGGGTATAGCAGTCACAAATGAGGCAATTAAGATCGACTGTTTGTCATAATTTATTCATTCATTTATATATTTACTAAATTATTGTTCGATATCTAGTAGTTACCTTCCTAAAATTTAAGAGTTGCATTTTTTAATATTTCCTAAAAGTTATTGAAGAAATGAAATAAAAATATTTCTCTCTTTAATGGTAAAATAAATTAATTCATAACAATTATTTATTTATTTAAGGAACATCAATCCTGTTGAAAACCTTGCTGTCGCCATTGGAAGCTTGGGGGAGGGATGGCATAACTTCCACCACGTTTTCCCTTGGGACTACAAGACATCAGAACTCGGCAACTACAGCCTCAATTTCACAAATGCCTTCATCGACCTGGCTGTCCTCCTTGGGTTGGCGTACGACCTCAAGACCGTCCCAGTCTCTATGATCAAGACTCGCGTAGGACGCACCGGTGATGGCAGCCACGATGTGTGGGGTTGGGGAGACAAAGATCTCCCGAAAGAACTTGCAGATCAAACTATGATCGAAAACAGGAAAACGGAGTAGTGTAATGCAACAAAAACCGCACCATATCAAATTTCTGTGACTGTGAAACATCCATCATTGTGTTCAACCAAAGAAGTGTAGGACTATTATTGTTTGTATGGTGTGGATTGACAATGCTGAAGACTCAGAGTTGTACAAGGGACGATGAAAAAACATCTTTGCGCCCTCATTATTAATTGTGATATTAAAATAGTTTGTGCAACGAGAAGTTAACGTCAGCTATGAGGGTAAGGTGGCAAAGTGAAGGTGGTTCGGTGACGAAATACTTTTTAAGATATTATCAACAATTAAATTCATTTGATTCATTTATCTTATGAATGTTTGACTGACGTTATACGTTTCTAATGTATGTAAATTTATAATAAAGAATTGTGTGCAACTACATATATTTTATTATTATTTCGACAGGGCACAAATAATATATGTCCTAATCCCAACTGAAGAATGTTGATCCTAGGAAGAAAATTCTTTAGGTCGGACGTTCGCATCAAAAGTAGCCAAAAATGTCAACATGCATTCGTTGAACATTTTTTATTGTGCATTTTTATAACGCAGGTGTGTTTTAGCTGTTATATGTGCTAAAATCCAAGCCAATACTTTCAGAAGAACGACTTATTGTTTCTTTAACTAAAATGCAATTTCAAACAAGTATATTATTTGAAAATATTCTTATTTTTCACCGCGACAGAATTAAACGTCAAATAAGCATGAACTAGAAGAGAAAAAGTGAGGACAGATTATGTATGTCACATACTTAAATTCACTTGATCCTTAGCAATGAAGTGTATATAATAGTTACGAAACAAGTATTATAATACACCTTCTTACAATACGAGATTGGAGAATTATCAATCGTCGCCGTTAGGTAGAGTACTGTAAGAATTTTTTTAAAGTTCTGCAACAAGCCGTAACAACGTTCCACTTTTAGCCAAAGAACTGGCATCGAACGTTTGGAATAATCCTCCTCTAATCAAGTCAGTCATCGCCAGTCGTAGTCAGTCATTGCCTTCTATCCCTTCGGCCAGGGACTCTGTTACTACGCGAGTGTTGTAATAAGATTTTACGAGTATCCTACGTTTTATTCGCTGTTACTACACGTGAATTGTATTAAGATGTCTCGTTACGAGAACCGTACAACGGTTTGTTCACTTTGGAAAAATTCAATGTCTTAATATTATCGTTTAAATATTGAAAACTTATCCACGTAAATGTGACCAACTATTGATAGCAGTTAGTGGAAGACGTTGGATCATTTAAACATTGAAAGAATGACAATAGGAGTTGCGTCGTGTAGTTGCTTTGATTACACGTATTGAGAAAATTGTACTTTGAGAGTTGACCACAATTCTGGAAAAGTTATGATTGTATATTTTACATTTAAAGTAAAAAAAATACAGTTCATTCTAGTCTCACTATTCCATGTTACGCAGCAGAATTTCAGTAAATAAAAATATTGATATAAGTAAGTGTATCGATATGTTTTTCAAAACACGATGTTTTCCAAAAATCTATATTTAGAAAAATCACGTTATCTGTAGATTTTTACTGAAGGCAAGGGACGACTGTTATCCCATTAACGCTCAGCGTTCTCGTTGTAAGACGCACATTTTTCATCAAATCAAATATTCTTCTTTTGCAATGCTTTGTGAAATTTATTTCTTCTATAGACGTAGACATCCTAAACAAAACAAAAGCAAGTGTTTTTCATTTTCTGATAGCTAGATACTGATTTAGCCGTGGTTGCTGGAGCGTGGCACTGTCTTGGCCAGGATGTATTCAGGACTTGCGTCGGTTCCAATCCTGATCTACAACCGCCTTTAGCTGCTCTATGCCTGTGCTTAAGACGCAAGTAGAGGCCGATGTAAAGCAAACGGTGGTTGGTCCACACCGAAGTTGACGGAGCGAATCGTCCAGGCTCTAACATTTTTGAGCATGCAGAAGAGAAGAACTGAAAACTATGACGGTAAAAGAAGCAGTTGACAATGATATTGATATGAAATTCGGTACCAAATACTAAAACTAAGCATATGAGAGAAATTGTTATCACGAGAGGAAGTGTTGAAGGATTTAACTTTTAGAATCCCTGAAAATATTATTTAATGGTATTATACTCATACATTATACCGAAATTTCCACGTAATTAGATTTTAGATTTTTCTTGTTAATGTTTCAATACGTAGTGCAAATTGCATCTAAATATGATTTCAATATGTTCTCTCATATCAGTTAATTCACACACTTTTATGAAAATTCCTCAATTTTTTAATAAACTATAACATTTGATATCGTGATAGATTCATGATTCTGATATATTTGACATGGATGTTTAGCCCATGAAAGAAAAGAACAACTCTTCACTGTTGAGCTATGTAAAACTAAATCACATAACCCACTGTGCCTTGGGAGATATTCCTATTCGGAGCACTGTTATCTCAATTTCTTACATCATGCGTGGTTGGTGGGGGCCAGACATTTCGCATCGCACGCATAGTGACGTTGAGTATCAGCCGATTCTTGGGTTATCAGAAATCGCCTTCCTCTTTTAAATAAGCGGGCCCCTTAATTTTACCAATGCGGTCAGAGTGGAAAGTAGTTAAGTTAAGGATTAAGCTAACTTGTTTAATAGAAAATCATCTTTAACACAGAAATGCATATACAAAATTGTGTGGTGGAATATCGCTATAAAATCTTATGAACTTTATTTTTATAAGAATTGGGAATACCTATTTTATTTCCTGCAATAAAATGTTTCGAACTTAAAGCACTGATAGAAATGAATTTCTTTGTATAAGGTAATTCCTTGAGCATATATACGACTCGAAACTATAGAAAAATTACTGACATAAATTACACTTTTGAAGCATTGTTTTTACTTGTAAGTATAACATTTTGGCCCATGTTTTGAACATTGAAATACTTAATTATGGTCGCTTCCATTTCACACTAACGTACATTAAAGTATATACTTACTAGACAATCGAAAATCAACATAATTAATTCATATAATTTGCTTACGAATGGTTTGATTATTTTTACGCCTTTTCTTTTGCTCATCCTCATCTGATGCTGGCAATTTTTGTCTGGAAGTGACGCGATTAAGGTCATATAAAAATGATGCCAACAAACAAACTCCAAAGTAGAGACTAAATATTCATTCCATTGTTGTGAAACTCATTCATTCTCGTTTCTCTCTGATATTGAGTGACATCTCAAACTTCGAGTTACAAAAACTCTTAATCCTTAATTCGTATGTATCGTAAATGTGATTAATCACACTGTTCAGCCATGATTTTGTTAAAAACACAATTTCAATTGATTCTAAATATGTCAGAAATATTCCATCATTCAACATTTTTTTGTAATAAGAAAAATATTGTTTTGAGGTTTTAGCGTAGGTAGGTCTTAAAAGAGCTGATTACTACAAAGCATTTTAGGATTTTCAAGGGGGCTTTCTTCTGAGAAGATGTAATTGTGAGAGGTGAGTGAAGATCTGCCAAACATTTTCAGAAAGTTTCTTCATTGATATTTTACATTGATAGTGAATACAATAATGGATGAAAATTGCACATTATACATTTTAAGTTCGTTGGACTTATTTTAACAAAATGGACAATGTTATTTTTCAATCTCATGACGCCTTGAAAGCTACATCTGAAAGCGATACAAGGACGTCATATTCAATTGAGAATCCATCTGAGTCTACAGAAATGGAAGTTGTGTAGACTGCAGCGAGTGGTGGCAGTCATATAATTTATTTGAGTAGTTTTTCAAATGATGCAGCTTTGCATACGCATCTAGGTTCTACAGTTCGTTATTCCAGTTGTCCGGGAGACAGTTTGAGTGCCCTACAGCAGATGCATTTTTATCCAATGCAACAGAATGCATTTCCTCCTCAAACATCAATTTCAGGCACATACTTCGAACGCAGCTTTTTCATTGGGTTCTGAACTAACGAATTACTCAAGAAGAAGATGATATTTATATTCATTTACCAGGTAAAAGACGAACTACCAACAAGGAAAATCCTTCTAATTTTTAATTATCTATCACCCTCCATCCATCTATAATACTTCTAATTTTCAATATTATCAGAATTACAAGAAGCAGAGAAAGATTCTCAACCCATCAAAATTGCACCCATTATAGTATCCAAAGTCATACACTCGACCTACTTTCGTACTACATTACAAATTTAAAACGAATTTTTGGAAATGTTTCAACGATTACAAAACGCCTTGTTTCAGTTTACACAAAAGGCTATTTACCCTGTCGACTCGTCTTTCTATTTAAAATTCATGAGGTTGGTGCTGCGACAGAGAGAGGGCAAAAGTGGCGTCAATTGTCGGTAAGTAAACTACATCCGCATGCTCTAATGTGGTAACTCGATTTGCATCCACACGGCCGAAAAAGGGAAACTTCTATTTACCACAAAATTTCGTATATTCCTGTTAACAGCCAGTACATACACTGATGGTTGTGAAAATTGCATCACCAAGAAGGAGACATACTATTACAATGAAATTTATTCCACAGATTAGGAATATTATAATATACACAAATGATTAGAATTACAGATTTTTACCTGCATTTTGACCTTGAGAATTTAGTACGGTGTGAAGCCCCCACACGCTACTATCAGGTCCTCTAGTCGTCGTGGCATGGACTGAAAGAGAGCCTGGATATGCTGCTGGGGAACACACTGCCACGCGATTCCTACGCGTGACCAAAACACATCGACAATGGCTGCAGGACCAGAACGAACAAGTTGCCGACCGATCATATCCCAGACGTTCCATGGGCGACATGTCAGGCGAACGTGCGGGTCAGGGAAGTACTGGTACCCGTCTACGACTTTACTGGCACCCGGCGTTCTTCGCAGATCGTTTGCACATTCCTCGCAATGCAGATGAAGTCGGGCATTTTCCTGCTAAAATATGGCGTTGGGCACTGCTTGCAGGAGCGGAAGCTCCCTAATGTAGCGGTTGCTGTTCACATTGCCCACAATAGTATGAGGCGAGATCGTACGTTGTAGCCAATGGCGCCCCAAACTCTCACACTTGGCGTGTCCGCTATAACGCAGAAAAATGCAGACTAGACTATTGCGATCACCAGGGTAGCGTCGAACACGTATGAGGCCATCGCTGTACCACAAATTGTACAACAACACCTCATGATGCGCCACTCAGCACACCAGTGAACACGTTCACGATCCCATTGCTGTCTGAGGCGTTGGTGGTTTCGGGACAAAGGAATCCTACGCTGCGGTATGCGTGCCACCAGTCGGGCCCTCAGCACACGGCGTCGAACAGTTGGCGCAGACATGACCACACCCGGTGTAGTGCTCCAAAGTCAAGCCATTACTGTCGACGACGCCATTTGGTCAGTTAC